TTGGTTACTTCTATTATATTTTGCTCTTGAATATTATCAGCCTTAAGAATAATGTTTCTGAGCATAGTTGTGCGATGAAGACTTGCAATAAAAAGCCGTATAAATAAACAGAGTTTACTTCCCCATCGAGGTAAACAAAATAATACAAAATTGTTTCTTATTCGCGGTATACACTAAGCTGTGTGAACACTAACATTTCGTATATCCATTTAAAAATAAATAAAATAAATTAAAATAAGCATCTCACAAAAAAAGGTTATTCATAATGAGCTTCTAAAACGAATAAATTTTAGTGATTGTGTATACACGATCTAACTCTAAGACCAGAAGGTCCCGAAGAAACGTGCTCAACTGTTTGGCTCAGCTCTGGTACTCTCTTCGGTCCCAAGCTAATCGAACCCCTCATTTTATTTGTCAAACTTTCATAGCGAATCAAAACAAACATAGTGTAGTACTAGATTGTCGACTAGAATGGGATACGCTTATAGATGTACTTGGGACCAATAGGCTAGTCAAGTAGAGAGCCAATTTAAAATCGTTAGTTTCCACCGGTTGATTGTACTAAAGTTGTACTCTTTTAAGCTATTACCTCAAATTGTGTATTTTGCAGTACTAGATGCATATAATTAGTATGCTCTTACTCGCTGCAATACCATTCTTTCTTTGTTCATGATCGACGACAATAGCAATAGCGTCTAAGACATCGAAAGTATCCTCGCTAAATTCTCATTTTTTTCGATTCATTCGATGGCAATCACATTTTTTTCGTTTTACAAATCATATATTTAAGCCTTTGGTTTCGTTCTGCTGCTAGCAAATCATTTCCGCATTCGCCCTATTCAGATAACACTTCTGAACTTTGTGAGTTTAACAGAACCACCAGCACCAAAATTTCGAGGTACACTGGAAATGTACTGGACTTGTCAAGTTGCCCCCGGGTTGGCTGGAACAAAGCTTTCAAGTGGATGCTTTTCAATGATATGGCGTTTTTAAGAATAGAAGTTTTTTTTTATCTTGCATCACATTTCTGATATGTACAATCAAAAATTGTGTTTGCTGGTATAAAATCTTTCATTTTTATGTGGTTATTGAGGTTCGCAAACGACCTCTCACTCCGTGGTGGGATAAGGATTGCACCGACGCGAACAGCGAGAAGTCCGCCGCGTTTAAACGTTTCCGCAAACACGGTAAGGTCGAGGATTTCGAGCGGTACACCGACCTCGAGAAAACTTTTAAGAGCTTGATTAAAGCCAAAAAACGCGGTTACTGGCGTCGGTTCGTCGATGGTTTGTCGAGAGAGACTTCCATGAGAACACTCTGGAATGTCGGCAGGAGAATGCGCAACGCGTCATCACCGGTCAACGAAGACAAGGAGTACTCAGACAGTTGGATATTCAGCTTCGCGCGGAAAGTTTGCCCGGATTCGGTGTCGGTTCAAACCAACGTTCGTGATAGTCCGTCGGGTAGTAACGAAATAGATTCTCCGTTTTCGATGGTGGAATTCTCACTTGCTCTCCTCTCATGTAACAACTCAGCTCCAGGAATGGATAGAATCAAGTTCAACTTGCTCAAAAATCTCCCAGACGTCGCGAAGAGACGCTTGTTGAACTTATTCAATCAATTTCTGGAGCACAACATTGTTCCGGATGATTGGAGGCAAGTAAGAGTTATCGCCATTCGAAAACCCGGTAAACCCGCGTCGGATTATAACTCGTACCGTCCCATCGCGATGCTGTCCTGTATACGGAAATTGTTGGAGAAAATGATTCTTTTTCGTCTAGACAAATGGGTCGAGTCGAATGGTTTACTTTCAGATACGCAATTTGGATTTCGGAGAGGCAAAGGAACGAGCGACTGTCTTGCGTTGCTTTCAACTGAAATTCAACTGGCCTATGCGCAAAAACAGCAAATGGGTTCAGTTTTCTTGGACATTAAGGGGGCTTTTGATTCTGTTTGTATCGATGTCCTTTCGGATAAACTCCACGATAGTGGGCTTTCACCAATTATGAACAACTATTTGAGCAACTTGTTGTCTGAGAAATATATGAGCTTTTCTCATGGAAACTCGACAACTTCACGAATTAGTTACATGGGTCTCCCCCAGGGCTCATGTTTAAGCCCCCTTCTTTATAATTTTTACGTTAAAGACATTGATGGTTGTCTTGATGAAAATTGCTCGCTAAGGCAGCTTGCAGATGACGGCGTTGTGTCCGTTATAGGGCCAAGTGCACCGGACCTGCAAGGACCATTGCAAGATACCTTAGACAATTTGTCTACTTGGGCTATGAAGCTGGGTATCGAATTCTCTCCGGAGAAAACTGAGTTGGTTGTTTTTTCTAGGAAGCATCATCCTGCACAGTTACAGCTTCAACTAAAGGGTAGAACAATCACTCAAAGTATATCTTTCAAGTATTTAGGTGTCTGGTTCGATTCCAAATGCACATGGGGAAAACATATTGCGTATCTAAAACAAAAATGCCAACAAAGAATCAATTTTCTTCGTACAATTACCGGAACTTGGTGGGGAGCACACCCGGAAGATCTTATCAGGTTGTATCGAACAACCATCTTGTCGGTTCTAGAGTACGGTAGCTTCTGCTTTCAATCCGCGGCGAAAACACATATCTTGAAGCTGCAACGAGTTCAATACCGTTGCCTCCGAATCGCGCTTGGCTGTATGCACTCGACGCATACGATGAGCCTCGAAGTACTCGCGGGTGTTCTCCCACTGACAGATCGTTTCGCTGAGCTGTCTTTCCGGTTCCTTATCCGTTGTGAAGTATTGAATCCTTTGGTAATAGAACACTTTGAGAAGCTGCTCGACCAAAATCCTCAAACAAGATTCATGAGTTTGTACTATGAGTACATGACGCTGGAGGTTGGTCCTTCTTCATTAATCTCCAATCGTGATTGCTTCCAAGCCTTCTATAGTTCCTCTGTAAATTTTGATCTGACCATGATGCAAGAAATCCATGGAATACCAGATCACCATCGGTCGATGGTTGTTCCCTCAATTTTTGCAATCAAGTACCACCATGTAAGTAACGATAAAAGATTTTTCACAGATGGGTCAACCATAAATGCTTCCACTGGATTTGGTGTATTTAATCAATTTCATAGCGCCTCCTATAAACTGCAGAAACCATGCTCCGTATACGTTGCGGAACTCGCAGCTATATTTTACGCAGTAGAGCGAATTGCCTCACTACCTTCTGACCATTATTTCATTTTTACGGATAGTCTTAGCTCATTGGAGGCTATTCGTTCAATGAGGCCGATGAAGCACTCCTCGTATTTCCTGCCTGAAATACGATCTAAACTGAGTGCTTTATCTAACTGCTCCTATACTATCACCTTAGCTTGGGTCCCATCTCATTGCTCAATTCCGGGTAATGAGAAAGCGGACTCATTGGCTAAGGTGGGCGCTATGGAAGGCGATATTTTTGAGCGACAAATCGCCTTCAACGAATTTTTCTCCATTGCTCGTCAGCAAGTCCTCATCAGTTGGCAACAAAAATGGAATGATGGTGAATTGGGAAGATGGTTACATTCTATTCTCCCACAGGTGTCGAACAAACCATGGTTCAAAGGGTTGGACATGAGCCGCGACTTTATACGCGTTATATCAAGGCTTATGTCCAATCACTGCTCGTTAGACTCGCACTTCTATCGAATTGGGCTCTCAGGCAGCAATTTATGTGCGTGTGGCAGTGGTTATCACGATATCGAGCATGTTGTTTGGTCGTGTACCTTACACCGTGTTGCCAGATCTGAGTTATCCACATCCCTCAGGGCCCGAGGAAAACAACCCGCGATACCCGTTAGAGATGTCTTGGCGACCCGAGACCTTGACTATTTGAATTTAATTTATGTGTTTTTAAAACGGATAGATTTGAGGATTTAGAAGTTAGTGTCATCTTGTGTTTTCCCAAGTTGTTAGCTACCCATCGGTGTACCCCCATGTTTGTCTTTTTCATCAGAGTGTCGCCTAGTTCGAGATCAAGAGCACATTGCTCTCCAAACCTTGTGTTCACAATCCCTACCCTGCCATCCATTTGTTACAATTTGTTACCCCTAACCTCGAGATAGCCGCGAGTAATCGGCCCCCGCTTTACTAACGTTAGTTTTAAGTAATTTTGTTATCTAAACAATGAATATCGGCTCCGCAAAGCTACAGCAAATGAGCCTGGAAAAATAAACGAATTATTAAAAAAAAAAAAAATGTGGTTATTGATGAAAAAACAAGCAACAGTATTGGCCATCTGTAACAATGGGTATTTATTTAGATAACGAAATATCATTACTTACGGAAAATATCTACGAATCGCTCATCTTGGTGTTGCAGCTGGTCCATAACAGCCTCCATAATTGAACTTTTTATTTTTCACAAGTTTCCACTTACATTTTTTTTTAAGAAGGTCGAAAATCACAATATGGTGAATTTGACGTTTCTCGCTGTGAAAACTACCGAACTCGGTAATGGAACGGTTTGTTTACCGAAACTTCAGTAAAATATTTCGCCGAAGTCAGTGATGAAGCTGATTTACAGATCTGCCGGTAATTTTTTTTACCGTTTTCGTTGAATTGAAATGAAATCACCGAAATTCGGTAATTTTATTTACAGTTTTCAGCAATAGAGCGAGAAAATACCGAAACATCTGTAATTTTTAGGATTACCGATCTAAGACGGTAATTTTTTTTACCGAACTCAGGGTCTCTGTTTAAGTGTGCATCATTCGAATTTTCCATTGAATGTGTAAAATTAGTGATTTTCTTAAGGTGGCCAAACTGCCCCACTTACCCTTATTATGTTTTTTCATCAAAATTCACGGACTTTTCCCGGCGATTTCGAATTTCCAGTTTTTTCCAGGTTTCCCGGTTCACTGACCACACCCTGAACTGTTGGTTAATTCATGATTTCTCCATTACATCTATGCTTAAAGTAAAGTATCCAAACGAGGTATTTTTTAAAGAAACATTCTCTCTAAATATCTTTGCAGCATTCAAATCCAACTTCGAGAAGCAATCACTCAAGAACACCACCTATAACTTCGAGTATGACTATAATAGCATCATGCACTACGGGCGGAATTATTTCAGCGTCGGAAAGGGTAAATCAACCATCGATCCCAAAATGCCAGGCGTCAAGATTGGACAGCGACAAGCCCTTAGCAAAACGGATTGCTTGAAGATTAACGATTTATACGGATGTTTGGATAATCCTAAATTAAGTAAGAAGTACTACAACATCTGTAAAACGCTCGGTATTTGAAAAGTGCGCAGAGTTGGATCCAAGTGCCATTTGATGAATGTGTATTTATGTGAAATAAAAGGTAATTTATTGTTATGTGAACTGATTTTTATTAGCTTCTTTTGTTTTTTCTTTTTTCATTGAGGAACCACGCGGTTTACTACAAATACATGGAATGTCACCGCTCTTGTGTTGAACGGGTCAATCCAAACAAAAGCCTTCAATTTAAGATTCCTGTTTTTATTTGTTATTTCCAATTTTTGGTAAATGATTGCCATTTCAAACTAAAACTTCGAACTAATCATTAACTGATTCGATTCAAACGTGATACTCGACTGATGCTATATCACAGCAATTAGGATTTGTGTAAGTATTTCCATCTACTTCCCGAGCTTTCGGTGCGCGATCATTTTCAAAAGTTTTGTTTTTTGTTCAACTTCGGAGGGCAGAAATTCACTTTCTCTTATCTAAGATTTGTAAAAAAAAATTGTATGAAACGTTACTGTTTCGTTCCTTGCACGTCACTTAGCGTAAGACAACGCACATAAATCAACTAAAACAATACTTTTCGTACGATTGGGTTGTTTAAATTAAATAGAATATCTTTAAGATTAGAGATAAGACGTTGAACTAAGACTAAACTTACTAGAGATGAGACAAAGTGCAGTTAGACGAAGCACCTAAATGGGCGACGCATTTAGTCGTCGAATTTTATGTGCTTCATATTACTGCTGCCTCCTCCACTAGAACCGTTGCGATAGCTGCTCGAGCTACCACCATAGCCGTTCGACGTCGAGCCTCCTCCGTAGCTTGAACCTCCAAACGATCGCTTCGGACCACCTTTGTCGTACCGATCACCACTGCCTCGGCCAAAATCGTTACTGCGTCCTCCCTTGAATGTACCGAACCGGTTTCCACCGCCGCCGCTGTTGTATCGGTTGAAGCCACCTCCGCCCATGTGACGCCACTTGAGCAACTCTGGTGGAACTTCCTGCTTGGCTTCTTCCAGGATGGCGACCAGTTCTTTGGCCATCTTACGCTCGTTCGATGTGAAGAAGGTGTATGCTTCTCCGGTGGCATTCGAACGGCCGGTACGACCGATACGATGAACGTAGTCTTCCGTTTGCTGGGGGTAGTCGTAATTGATGACCACTTTGATACCGTCGACATCTGGCGGGAAATGGGGAAGGGTAATCGATTGATTAGCGATTGGTGGTGTAAAAGATTAAAAAGAAATGTTCCAATTCATCAGATCGCTGAAGATAAGTCATAATCGGAAATAGATGGCTAACGCTGGCTCGCAAAATGGATGTTCTTCGTTTGAAATTTCGAACAATCGTTGTATGTATGATACCGTTTATGTGATTTAGTTAGATTGATTTGCATTAACGAAAATTTAAAAGGACTATTAATGTTTTCTAATGTCTCTTCAGCGCTCATCACGAAAACACTGCAATGCCACACCTTTTAAGGGGGCGGTTGAGTTTTGTATGTGCCGGAGAGTTTCACTGTTCGAGCAGAATTAAAAGCACTGGCAGGACCGGAGCATATTGCTTAACATCTCAACCAGCGACTCTATGCTCGTGATACACTATAATACCACCTATCACGCAACCGATTGTGACCTTTCTTCAACATTTGTGTGAATAAAAAAAATGAAAGTGAAATGACGAATTCATGTTAATGAATGATGTTAAAACGAAAGATGAGATTGGTGAGAAAGTATTGTGGTAAAGCCAAGGAACGAACCAGATACAAACCATTAGTCCAATATATAAAGATCAAATTTTGGAATCCGGAAGCGCTCCCACGTCCAGTTGTTCAACTGAACATAGAAGACATCCGGGGGATCGATATTGGACGTCAACATTAGCAGCAATTCACAAATGACGGAGTGTAAACCCACCCCAACGAGATATCACCAGACCAATCAATCAATCAGCAACAACGATTCCGGAATCGATTTCAATTCCGTCGATTTCGTTGTTCCAACAGTGCTTCCATTCCAATTGCTCAGTTTCTTCAGCAACGACGACCGATGCTGCATTAGATCCACAAACTCCGACTTCCGCATCGATAGAACGTGGATCTGTGCTAGCTGTTGGAAATGCTGATCGATGGTGGTAGGTCAATATCTCACGTCACAAAAACCCCATTCTGCGAGGCCGAATTATTTCCTTCATTGGATGAGGATAGAGTGCCATCTCCGAATATTAACTTCCGTTTATCGCTGATTGTGTCATAGTTTTCCAAGCGAATCTGTTTCACATACACTTTTCCCGGTCTCCCGCGCTTTTACGAGACACCAACCGGGTGAAACATATGTAAATCGCTCGGCGTGATAGTGCAATTAAAACGGAGATGTGCAGCTGGCGGCAATCGCAAGTGATTGCCAACCGATTTATCCCCATCACGAAGTGTTCCGGCCTCTGGAAGCAGAAGAGTGAGAGAAAAGAAAAAATGGAAAACGTATGGTGAATCAACTGCTACAAAGCCATCTTCGAAGGTGGTTTGGAATGTTAGAAGCTTCGAAGAATATGACGAAAGCTGAAATTGCTCACTCTAATCTACTTTTTGTCTAAAGGTGGAATGTTGCTGCTGCTGTTGCTGCGACTGCGGTTCGTATTGTTACAAATCAAAATTTACTACAGAAACGAATCATGAAGCGGATAGACATCTAAGAATATCACTTACCTAGACCACGAGCAGCAACATCGGTGGCAACCAGGATGCAGCTGTTGGAGTTACGGAATTTGTTCAACGCTCTCTCACGTTCCTGCTGGCTCTTGTCTCCGTGCATGCCGACTGCATCTTGGCCGTAACGACGCAAATAGCTGGTAATCTGATCGCACTTGCGTTTGGTTGTGCTGAAAATCAGGATCTTGCCCGAAGGCCCTTTGGAACGTAGATTGTCCAAGAGTTTTCCAAGTCTGTCATGAGAGAAAAACAATCGGGTTAACTGTGTTCAGAGAGCTTTGATCGATGGATGTATCCTCAGCGCTCATTACGAAAACACTGTAACGCCAAAATGGCAGTTAAGTTTTGTATGTGCCGAAGAAGTTACTTTTCGAGCGGATATAAAAAGCACTGATGGGACTGAGGTTCGTAACTTAGCATCCCAATCAGCGACTCTGTGCTCGGTAATTGAAAGGAACATCAAAAAAAAAGTAGAATACTTACTGTTCATTCTTCTCGTGTTCCTCGATCACTTTCACGTACTGAGTAATGTTGTGATTAGCAGATAGTTCCAGAGATCCAACGTTGATCTGAACGTAGTCACCGAGGAAATCTCGGGCCAAACGCTGCACTTCTTTGGGCCATGTGGCACTCCACATGAGAATCTGGCGATCTGGGCGAACCTGCTCCAGAATTTTACGAATCTGAGGTTCGAAACCCATATCCAACATACGATCGGCTTCGTCCAATACCAAATAGGTAACACGCTGCAGCGTGGTTGTGCCAGTTTCAAGGAAATCGATCAAGCGACCAGGAGTTGCAATGACAATCTCAACTCCTCGACGCAAATCACTTGCTTGGGGTCCCTTGCTGGAGCCTCCGAACAAGCAGGTGTTGCGAATGTACGACGACGAACCGAAGTCAGTCGCAACCTGTTGGATCTGCTGGGCCAACTCACGGGTTGGCGCAAGAACAAGCACCAATGGACCGCGAATGTTCGTGTCTGGTTTCTGGTGGTTGATGTGCACAATTGCAGGAAGCATATATCCAAGTGTCTTACCGGAACCGGTCTTAGCAACGCCGACCATATTCAAGCCACTCAGGGCGATTGGCCACCCTTGAGCCTGAATCGGCGTAGGACTCTGGAATCCTTGTTTTTCAATTTCATTCATGACGTAGTCTGGGATGTCAATTTCATCAAACTCAGTAATTGGTTTGGGACACTGTCCAATCAATGTTATGTCATGCTTTTCCAAAAAACGATCAACGTCTCGCTGAGAGCGATTCTTGATTGCCGAATGTTCGCGGTAAAAGTCCTTTTTGAAGGGAACCAACTGCATTTTGCTCCAGTTGATCTTCTGGAGCTGCTTAGACTCCATGGTCCATTTATCGCGGCCTCCTCCTCCTGAGCCACCGAAGCGACCACCGCCGCCGGCACCTCCACGGAACCCACCTCCGTCACGGCCATCTCGACCGGATGGGCGCTTAAATTCCGTTCCCGTGCGCTTCACTCCATTATACGAATCCTTTTTGTAGTCATCACGTTCGAATCTCGGAGCCCTGTGCAGATGAGAGTAAAAAAATATATATATATTTCATAAGTATCCATACAGATTTGAAGAGAAATCCCATTCAAACATCCACAAGCGATGTACATTATTTTTTGTGTAAAACAGCACATCCATTCGAATCGAATTTAAATTGTTTTCTGTTTCCAACCAGAGTCAATGTTATAATAAGAGTCCCACCAAGAGTAAAGCCAGAAGATAGTACCAATCGAACTGTCAATCAGGGTCCCGAACAAGAAAAGTAAATAAACATTATTGTTCCCACAGCCAGTGAACTACAAGTAGTATTGCATTCATTCAAGACAAACAATTGAAATGGCCTTAACTCCATTTTGTAAACAAACCTTGTAAGGCCATTTTCTCGCGAACCGAATCCTTCATTCGCAAACCTAAACCACAATTGGGTAGAGGAGAATTTTTCCTACCTGTTAAGTATGTTGGTTTGCCTTTGCGGACTTCGGTGCGCGAGAAAATGACCTTACAAGGTTTGTTCACTATCAAGCTGGGGTAAATTTCCCCTATCTGGTGGTAGTGTGATAGCGAATTCGTTTAATATTCAATTCCAACCTGGATCGGGTATCAAGATTGAGTCTGCTTGTTTTCTGACAAACGTCAATTTGCTCGTTTGTTTTTAAAACCTAGCTCAGGTTGAGGTTCGCACTGACAAAAAGTTCGGTTTCACACTGGGTTGGAACTGGTTTCAACCCCGATAATAAACGAATTCGCTATTAGTATGCGTGGGCGAGCTGCCAGTTATGCTAAATCGACGATCAAATGCATTGTTTACCAAATCTGATGCGTCCCTTTGAAAATAGTAATTTTAGATGAACAACATTACGTCGCTTTATTTACTACATTGCGGAATTTTTTTTTTAATTAATACCAAGCACTTGTTTGAACATTTTTCAGGTTCTATAATTGTTTTTGTCTCCCAGAAGCTCCGTTATCGACATGAAATTTTTCACTTCTGAATGAGTCATCGGCAAAAAATCTGGTTGCCGTTTACTGTAAAATAAATCACAAACAGTGCTGATTGTTCGCAACATTTTCTCTTGGTGGGACTCTTATTATAAAATCGACTCTGTTTCCAACCAACTTCATGTCGGAAGTGTATGTATGCACACAACAACCGTTACTTTCCCTTCAACGCTATGACTCTCTTCACCACGTTCACCCCCACCAGCTGACTCATTCGCGAAACGTTGCAAATGCGTCAAACACAGCTGAAATTCACTTTCCGTTTGTTCCTTGAACTTGAATCTTCGTGCTTCTCGGTGTGACGTCACGCAGCAGCACGTTTTTGCAAATGTGACGAGCACTCCGAACTTGATCAAGTTAGCCGCCATTTTGAATTTTTCTTCCAACAAAGAAAAAACGGAATTTCACCATTTCAATCGAATTTTCCCAAGGTTTTTCACCGATGAAAATCTTTTTACGTAGAATATAAGTCCACGTTCGACATAATCTCGAACATTCAAACGCATAAATCAGAATTATTAGCAATTACATATTGGCAAATTAGCCACGTGCGGATTCTTCCGGTACTTACATTTCACTGAATTCTTCGTTGTTCTCCTTGTCGACTGTAAATGATGCGGTCGAATGGTAATGCTGGAGAACCGTGGAATTCCTTTCTACGGCCTGGTACCTGTGCTGGTAGAAAACGGCTTCCGAGCGCAGCAAGTTAGAATTTCTTGCGGCGAAGATGGAACTACGACGTGCGCTACAAAAAGGCGTCGATTTGCTGCAAGCAGAAATGATCGCTGACGTTAGTACCCGTTTCGTTTGGTGGAAGAACATGATGGCCGGTCCCGGGTAGTTGCTCCAGAGTTGGTTAAGGTAAATAGGAAGTTTTTTTTTTTTGTACGGCACAGCCGCGCTTCCTCTCCAAACGCTGTCTAGCACTACACGAGCACGCGGATCGAACACTTGCGATGCTTACCTAATCACGTTCAATAATGGAAAGAAACTGCTCGCGAATATACACACTGAAAAGATGTGACGCGAAGCGAAACGTCGAGAACACGACCAAAGCATCCGAACATTTACAGCTTCCGAAAAGGGAAAACCCGAATACGGTTGTCAGTTGCAGGGTTGTCATAAAGGGACATTTTCTGATTGCACGAAAAGACGAAACAACCCAAAATTAAGTCTTTTTTACTCATCCTGGCACCAAAGTGAAACCCAGCCCAGTGGCAGGCGCGTAGGCAACATGTTATGTTATATACCTAATACCCCGTACAGACTATGGCTTATATCATGTACCATAGGCTGTCTTGAAATGAGCACTCATACACGGATACGAATTTTGTTCATTTAAACAAAAATTTAAATGTTTATACTTTAAACATATGACTTATTCAAAGTAAATTGAAAGTAGGTTTAAAACTAAAATATTTATGTTTGAATTATATTCAAAAGCATGTTTATTTCAACAATATAGGATTTGGGTAAACGGTTTTTAGCGTGTTATGCCTTTTTATTTCCTTCTTGTTACATTCGGAAAAGGTTGCCCCAGCTTTGCTCAACCTCAACAGAAAACGGCCATCCATTCCGAATCCATTCCGGATCCTCCTCCGATACCGAACATGGAAAGAAACCGGTATGAGGACCAGTGGCAGAAACCGAGGCAGAAACGGCAAAACGACGCTAGTAACACAAATTTACACCGGTTCAACTGAACTGGAACCCCCGGACACCCACCCCGACGGGTCCTCGCATCCCGGACCAGGAACCCATTACTCATAGGTCACCCTTAATCGCACCCGAAAAAGAGCATGAATTTAGATGCCCTGCCCGAAGATCTTTTTTTTCATTTCTTTGCAAACCGTTTAATTTTGCTTTACCCTGCACTCAACTACTAAAATAATTCCAAAATATGTATGTTTATTTTAAACATCAGAAGCATGTTTAAAATAAACATATTTACTATTGTTCGCATAGCTGTCAAACCAAACAAAACTAAATACGTTTATTTTCAACACGAATATTTTTGAAATAAACGTAACATTATTTTTATTTCATGACATCAAACATGGAATACGTTTGAAATCAACCTAATTTATGTTTGTGGCCAGAACAAACTGAGTTTACGTTTAAATTTACCTCAAATATTTTTGTTACGACGATAGTTTTTTTCTGCGTGATGTATTCAAATACGCGTTTATACTGTTTAATATGACACTTTCTGGGCTAACAAAATCCGCATTATAGAGTGTCGGATTACCGGGGAAACATCAAACATGGAATACGTTTGAAATCAATCTAATTTATGCATTCAGACTCGTTTCGGGTGACTTTCGCTGGTTCAGCTCTCCCAAACTTTGTCAAAGTTGATGGTGCTTTTTTTCCGGTGCGGTTGTTTGTACAGAGGGTATATAATTGTACCAACTGCAAAAGGCTGGGACACTCGGCCAGCCATTGCGGCAACAAAACTCGTTGTGGCAAATGTGGTGAAAACCACAAAGAGGATTCTTGCCACAAAGAATCAGTAAAATGCGCTTATTGTGGCGAGAATCCTCACCCCTTGCAGGAGTGCCCGATGTACAAGCAGCACTCCGATAAAGTGCAGCGTTCAATCTCTGGACGCTCCAAGCAGACATATGCTCAAATGTTGAAGGCTGCATCAGCCGTCCAAGATGCAAACCAATTTTCGGTTTTGTCAGTTGAAGAATCGGACTCTGACTCATCCGATGAGGGTGACTCTACGGTGGTACACGCACCTTTGAAAACGAACGGATCCTCAAAACGAAAATGCTCCTCCCCGAAAGTGCGCCGTAAGAAAACTAAAGTCACTCCCAGAGGATTGCAAAATTCCCAGGGTAATGGGGCTGAAAAAATTAAATCGAAGGCTCCTACTGCTCCACTTCCTGGCTGCAGTAAGGATTTTCCGCCATTACCCAACAAAGAAAAGAAAAACAAAAAAGCTGCTCCTCAAACTTCTCAAAAGAAATCCAAGTCCGAACGCGGTTTGCTAGCTTTTTCGGACATTGTGGAATTCATATTAAATATGTTCAACATACAAGACCCTCCGAGGGGCGATTCACTTGTGTATTTTCGATTCAGGCCAACGTATTGATGAACGTATTGAAGTATTTTTTTATCGAATAAACGTGTATTTTGTGTAATAATGTATTTTTTTGTATTTTTTGAATATATGTATTTTTTGTGTATTAGAAAAATAAAAGTGTATTTTTATGCATTAATGTATTGAAAATCAGATATAAGTGTATTCTGTCATATCAGTGTTTATGTTTACCACTCGAACCGAGGATCAAACGGATCAAACTCACAATTTTGACGTTTTGTTTGACAAATGCACAACACACGTGAACTTTAAAATACCCACTGATGAGTAGAATTTCACCCATTTTAAAGAAAAGAGGCTTAACTCATTAACTACTTAGACAGTTTTTTTTTGGGTTTCCTCCCCCCCCCTTATAAACCTGCGTAGACAAATGCCCAGACAAAATTTTTAAAATTTGTATGGGCCGCGAATAATTGCCATCCCCCCCTTAATTGTCTACGTAGATTATGAACAGCCCCTTACCTCGCTCATTACGCATTAATAAGCATCTGTTACATTACGCTACATCTGTTACATTACGCATTAATGAATTATCGTTACTTATTTGTGGCTCACAACTACTCAAAATGTTTTTTTTTTATTTAATAAATGATTTAAGGCACTTTTCTTAAAAATGGGCGAAATTCTACTCATTAATGCATTGTTTTGTGATTCAAGCTCAGATTAAAACACAAAATAATAAATTTACGCATTTTGTTCGAATTCAGCATTTTGATTGTATATTTTCGATTTTTTCGTGCAAATGACGAATTATCGTGTATTTTTATTATTCGTCGAATATTTTTGTATTTTTTTTCCGAATTTTGTATTTTTTTGCATTTTTTTAATAATGACGAGTAATGATGAATTTTTGTGTATTTTTTTCATTAACGTATTTTCGATTCATTCTCGAGAGCAGTGAATTGCCCCTCGAGACCCTCTTAGAAGCTTAGTTTCTGCCTTGCTTCCAACATTAGAATCATATCTTAAGCAATTGACTGTTTCATGGCCCCTCCTTGCATCAATCATATCTTTCGATGGATAATTCGTCGAACGAGGTTGAAGATATGATCACTGTGCTACAGTGGAACTGCCGTAGTCTAGTGCCTAAACTAGACTCGTTCAAATTTTTACTTCACAATTCTGATTGTGATATATTTGCTCTCTGTGAAACATGGCTTTCTTCCGATAAAGAACTCAACTTCCACGATTTTAACATTATTCGCCTGGATAGAGACGATTCTTATGGAGGAGTACTTTTAGGGATCAAAAAGTGCTACCCTTTCTACAAAATTTCCCTTCCTGCTCTATCAGGCGTCGAAATCGTCGCTTGCCAAATAAATGTGAAGAACAAAGATCTTTGCATAGCTTCAGTATACGTTCCACCAAGAACCTCCATTAGCCGTAGTCAACTCTGGAATCTAGTTTCGATTCTTCCATCCCCAGTATTAATTCTGGGTGATATGAACTCCCATGGTACTGGGTGGGGCGATCTATATGACGACAATAGAGCGGCTATTTTTTACGATTTATGTGACGATTTCAATTTGACTATTTTGAACACTGGTGAAGCGACACGTATAGCAAAACCTCCGGCTCGAGAAAGCCGACTCGACCTATCTTTGTGTTCAAGATCGCTATCATTGGACTGTCAGTGGAAGGTTATCAATAATCCCCATGGTAGCGATCATTTGCCAATCATCATTTCAATTAAGTGTGGCCCTCACTCTGCAGAACCATCTCGGGTTCCATTTGATCTTACAAGGAACATCGACTGGCAGAAATATGCAACGGCGGTGACAATCGGTGTAGAATCAATAGATACGCTTCCACCATTGGAAGAATATCGATTCCTCGCCGATTTGATATACAAAAGCTCACTGGAAGCACAAAAAAGAAAAGTTCCAAGTGCGCCCTTCAAAAGGAGACCAGCCACACCTGGTTGGGATGAAGAATGCACAAAATTGTATGTAGAAAAATCTGATGCTTTCAAAGCTTTTCGTAGACACAAAACCTCCACTTACTTCGAGGAATATTCAAAGCTTGAGACAAAGCTGAAACAATTAATCAAAGCAAAAAAACGCGGTTATTGGCGCAATTTCGTCGAGGGACTCTCACGAGAAACCTCAATGAACACCTTGTGGAGGGTGGCTCGCAACATGCGTAACCGCTCATCTTTCAATGAGAGTGAAGAATACTCCAACCGATGGATATTCGATTTCGCTAAAAAGGTCTGTCCGGACTCAGTTCCAGCACAAAATATTCTTCGAGAAACGTCTCCTAGCGGCGGCTCTCTGGATAGACCATTCTCAATGCTGGATTTCTCTATGGCTCTTCTTTCATCGAACAACTCCTCACCGGGAAGCGATATGATTAAATTCAATCTTCTGAAAAATCTCCCAGATATCGCTAAAAGACGCTTGCTAGACTTATTCAATTCCTTACTAGAAAACAACATTATACCGCCTGAATGGAGACAGGTCAAAGTAATAGCCATTCTAAAACCTGGCAAACCAGCGTCTGACCATAACTCATACCGTCCGATTGCCATGCTTTCGTGCATTAGGAAATTGTTGGAGAAAATGATCCTTCGGAGACTCGATCAGTGGGTCGAAACAAATAATTTGCTATCAAATACACAGTTTGGGTTCCGCAAGAGCAAAGGAACAAACGATTGTCTAGCGCTGCTTTCCACAGATATTCAACTGGCCTTTGCGCACAAGGAGCAATTGGCTTCAGTATTCTTGGACATTAAGGGGGCTTTTGATTCAGTTTCCATTGAAATTCTGTCAGACAATCTGCACAGATGTGGACTTTCTGGAATTTTAAATAATTTCTTGTACAATTTGTTGTCAGAAAAGCAAATGAACTTTTCCCTTGGACAACTGACAACTTCCAGAATTAGTTACATGGGCCTGCCCCAAGGCTCATGTCTCAGCCCTCTTCTTTATAACTTTTATGTCAAAGATATCGACAACTGTTTGGCAGAACAATGCACGCTAAGACAACTTGCAGATGACGGTGTGGTTTCCGTAAGAGGTCCACATGCCGTGGACTTGCAAGGACCATTGCAAAATTCCTTAGATAACTTGTCTTCTTGGGCTATGAATCTAGGGATCGAATTCTCGCCGCAGAAAACTGAACTGGTAGTGTTTACTCGAAAGCGGTACCCAGCCCAAATGCAGCTTAATCTTTTGGGCAGAAACATTGCCCAATCATTGTCTTTCAAGTACCTTGGGGTCTGGTTTGATTCAAAGTGCACTTGGAATGCCCATATTACGTATTTGAAGCAAAAATGTCAGCAGAGGATCAACTTTCTCCGTTCAATTTGCGGCACATGGTGGGGTGCTCATCCGGGAGACCTCATAACGCTTTATAAAACAACTATTCTCTCTGTTCTAGAGTACGGCTCTTTCTGCTTTCTCTCGGCAAGAAAAAGTCACCTAATAAAATTGGAACGAATTCAATATCGTTGTCTGCGTATTGCTCTAGGCTGTATGCACTCAACGCATAACATGAGTCTCGAGGTTCTGGCAGGAGTAACACCCCTCCAGAACCGTTTCTGGGAGCTCTCTCTCAGAATACTAATCAAATGCGGAGTGACGAACACACTTATAATTGCTAATTTTGAAGAAATTCTTGGGCTGAACACACAATCTCGATTTATGAGAATCTACCACCACTACATATCATCAGATATGTGTCTTCCTTGTTATACTCCAGACCGTGTTCACTTCACCAATCGCAGTTCCTCAATTGAATATGATCTGACCATGAAACAAGCAACTCATGGGATTCCCGATCAACTTCGACCTATTATTATTCCGCGTATTTTTACTGAAAAGTACCAACAAGTCAATTGCATGAAAAGATATTTTACAGACGGGTCTCGTCTCAGTGGATCCACTGGCTTCGGTGTCTTCAATGAAAACTCTAGCGCCTTCCGCAAACTCCAGGAACCTTGTTCCGTTTTTGTTGCTGAGCTGGCAGCAATCAACTTCGCATTGGGGATGATTTCCAACATGCCCGCAGACCATTACTTCATCTTCTCGGATAGTCTCAGTTCGATTGAGGCTATTCGGTCGATGAAACAAGGTAGGCACTCATCTTATTTCCTTTCAAAGGTAAGGGAGCAGATGTGTGTGCTGGTCGAAAGATCATATATGATTACCTTTGTATGGGTCCCCTCACATTGCTCAATCCCAGGCAATGACAAGGCGGACTCTCTCGCAAAGGTGGGCGCACAGGAAGGCGAATTGTATGACAGGCAAATTTCACACGATGAATTTTACCATTTAGTGCGTCAGAGTACCTTTTCGAGTTGGCAAACCGATTGGGACACTGGAAATCTTGGACGGTGGTTACATTCAATTATTCCTAATGTTTCTTCGAGAGCGTGGTTTAAAGGCTTGGGCTTAAGTCGTGACTTCATTCGCGTGATGAGTAGACTTATGTCCAACCACTACTCGCTAGATGCTCATCTCAATAGAATAAACCTCGTGGACAGCAACATCTGTCGGTGTGGAAACGGTTACGATGACATCGAACACGCAGTTTGGCAATGTACGGATAATGACGCCGCCAGAGAGCGACTTTTGAATACCCTCGAGGCCCAAGGAAGACAACCCTATGTTCCTATGAGAGACGTGTTGGCAACCCGTGATCTCTGCTATATGCAGTCCGTTTACGTTTTTCTTCAAATGTCTAGTATAAGAATTTAATTCCTTTTGTCTTTTGTCTCTCTTTATTAGTTTTTGTTTGTCTTGTCCCCCCGTCTCGATGAGTCTCATCGTCGCCCACTGGTCACCCACCATAGCCGGTCGAACTCCGGACGAAGCTAGAACAGCACTACCGTTCATACTGGCGACAACGCTCTGATGAGACAACGAAACCCTACCCCAAGCTCCTCCCCTGATCCTATCCTTCGAAAATGTACCCTTCTAACCTCGAGTAAGCCACGAGTAATCGGCCCAACTCCTACTAGACATAGAATTAAGTGAATTTTGTTACACACAGTGAACAATGAATTATCGGCTCCGTAAAGCTAACGCGATTGAGCCTTCCAAATAAACGAACTAGATAAAAAAAAAAAAATCTAATTTATGTTTGTGGCCAGAACAAACTTAGTTTACGTTTAAATTTACCTCAAATATTTTTGTTATGACGATAGTTTTTTCTGCGTGTACCCATAATCGAGGGCGGTGACACACTCGGCGACACATCTAAATCTCGATTCTAGATGCTCAAAAAATCTCACACTAGCGAATAAATCTTTGAAAAAATTTCTTTCATTTCTCGCATCTACTTGCATCGCGCATCGTTTTTTTTTTTGCAGGAAATCTTCAAAATCGTGATAAATCTTCTTTCTATCTACTCAGCGAACGCGCAGCTAGCCACCAGCAAAACACAATATTTTCTGCATCGTAGATTGGCGTCTTGCAGTGAAACTTTTCCAAGCTTTCGCCACCTACATTTCGAAGTGAGAACTACTAGAAGGAGGATAGATTCCAAATTTTCCAAGTAAAACAGACGCTTTTCTTGGGGCAAATTGGTCCATAAAGAAAAACTAATAATTTCCCGTGGAAACTTTTGCTTGAATCGTGTAAGGAAACGGGTTTGAAAACTTTTTGTTATTAATTCGGTATGGATCGGAGATGTTTTCATGGAAAATTATGCATAACAAGTTTGCACCCACAGGGAGAGGTTACCTCCTGCGCAGCTGCATTTTTCAGAAAATGGTTAATATGTGCGATTTTCACTAAGATGAATGTGGAAATTAAGTGAATTTACTTGGGAAAGGTTGTATCATGCTGGTGGTAATAGATAATTGGTTGTATGGGACGCCAAAACTCAATAAATGCTCATTTTGGCCTTTTTTAAGCAAACATATTGATACTCACAATTTTTGACGAAAAACGCACCGGAGCTTGATTTACTCAACACGCACCATACTATAAAATGGTGCTAGATGATCTTCAAAGTGATAACAAGATGACAAATCATCTTTATTTTGAGCAATTTACTTCTGTTTACCATCATATTTACGATGCAGTATTGATGGAGCCGTGAAATGAAATGAATATATCTTATGAAAGTTCACCTGGAAAAGTCAAAACTGCACATCATTCTGATCGTAAAAACGTTTTCTTCTTCAATTCGAATGTTATATTGGAAAGATTTCACGCAGGCTTGATGAAAATTATGATTTCATGCTAATTTTCACGAATTTTATATGCAGTCTGTCAACATTATCATCATCATGCAGTGGCGACATCTACGTTGAGCTTTTGCGGCAATCTTCCAATAGAGTCGTCCCCCTCGCCCATAATCGCATATCAGTCCTATCTTTGCTTGATTTCCTATCCATATGGCACTGGTATGCGATTATGGGCAGAATAATGGGTAACAGTTACTCACTAAATAGGTAAACAATTTACCCATTAATGAGTTAAGCTTTTTGAAGAACTTTTCTTCAAATTGGTTCTTTTTTTCAACCATTAATAAGACTTTCAAGTTAGCGTGTAGTTTTGACAGCTCGTTGCATTTTTCTTATATGCGATGAAATGCAGCAACGCATGAACGCATCATTCAAAGGGAAAGCGAGATAGCAAGTGTTATTCTGACTACATTCAATGTGGAAAAAAGAATAAGCATGACGGTACTTTCTCTTGTGCTGCGCTGCACTCCACGATCATCATCATCAAACGCCAGTGTAGTTCTTTATTATTTTTCATTGAGCCAGAATAAAAATAAAAATACGGCTTCATTTTTATTGCCGTCACCACCTAGATTAAGTACCAAAAGGTTGATCAACACAAACGCGAGTGAATGTATAATAATAAAACCAAAAAATAATACTGTCCACTTCACAGCCCTAAAAACCGAAACGACGACGACGACGGCGGTGGTGGTGAGGATGATAAGCGCTTCGGATCTGTTCCTGTTCGAATAATATTTTGTTTGCGTAGGCAGATTTTCTGCTAGAAGAAGTGCTTAGATTGGCGGTCCGCCGGAATCTTGAAAAGACGCAAACGATGAACCTGATGGATAGCAACCCATATGGGAACGGACTGCTGTATGCAGGTTTCAATCAGGACCAGGGTAAGTAGGTGTAATGATTCTGCGGCCTGTGGCGTCATATTTTACGATTTTTTTTTTGTTCGGATATGGATGGTAAATACTACCTATGATTCAGACAGTTCTAATCTAAATGTATAGGTAGGTATCGGTATGAATTTCGAATTGTTCTTGCTTTTGGGAAGACCTTTTCTGAGGTCATGTAAAATATGTAATGTCGCGTTCAATTCAATCCGGATTTACGAAGGGGGTGTATGGGGATTTCAATAAATTGGCCAAGTCAGCTTGTAATTTCGTTGCAGGAGTTAGGTCCCTTTAGTCGTAAGTGAACTTTAAGCCGTGTGCCCAGTGGATGAAGAAAATTTGTATATTATTATTTTTTATGTTACTTCATACGCGAAGTTAGCGATTTTCAGAGTTGGTTGGAAATGCTAACATAAAGCTTTAGTGTGATAATTTATTAGCTAGAGAATGATATTGGGAAGAGGGTAGGTGGATAATCGTCGAAATCACGCACGAGTTTGTCACTGTTGAGACAATTAGATGAGGGTGATGTGGAACTAGCTTAGTTAGTGCACAAGGAGCCGAGGAAATTGATGGAGCCCTGTCCTGTGTGCTCACGGAGCAGAGGTCCAAACTATTACCATTTTCGTTAACTACATGGTTAATTTGAGAAAGCGTCGCTGAGCTGTAGTTGTCGAGAAGGCTAATAACTCCTGCGTGAAATGTAGAGCTATCAGGATCTGGGTACAGGAATCCGCTATGAGATGAACTCGACGAAACGCCTGGCAAATTGAAGTCAACAAAAATGAATATCTTATCAACTGGAGTGGCACTTTCGGTAACTGTGAAAACTGACCGACAGTGAGTATCGATGAGTTCATTGTCCCGGACTCGATCAGGTGGAATGTAGAGAGCGCATAAAAATAGTGTGCGATCGATTGATGGCTGTCCAAACCTGCTCCACTTAGTTCCATGAATCGTTCTCGATGGCCTTTGCCTCCAACCTTTGTCTCGGACAGCTACAAGGACACCTCCAGCAGTAGATTTACGGCTGTTGTTAGGATTCCGATCGCAACGAAAGATCTCGTAGTCAGGACCGAAGACTTGACTGGAAAGCGTTCGATGATCGAGCCACGTTTCGTACAGGACAATTACATCGTAGCAACAATCCGATACAGCTAGGCGGTACTCTTCAACATCAGAATTCATTCCACCGGCGTTTTGGTAGAAGATCACGACGTCCTGCTTGCGGCAAGGAATCGAACGACTGCTCTCCCTGGAAATCACAGATACATCAGGCAATAACTGGTCATCATCAAGTCTCATTGGATACTCGCCATAGTGAATGGGTTGGAAGACATCCTCCACATCCGATAGCAGGTCCGGAACGACTATGATGAACGAAAGCTGCTGATGTGCAATTCAATTGCTGATGGTTGATGGCAATTCAATTTAATAAACTATTAAAATCTCTAATTCACCTAATTAATCATAACCCATGCTTTATTAAGTACCTGCACTTGTGCTTGTAATCTAAAACCTATAACCTATACCTATTTATTATATATATTTATTATATCTTAGTTCGACCCAGGTGACACCTTCAAGTTACTAAAATGCTTCATTTTGAAGCTAGTTCCCTAGCTGATTTTTAAATTATATAGTGTATATGCTCCAACTATGCTCACACGCTTCCACTATTTCGCACCACAAAAATACGTATGGGTATGTCACAATAGAAGCACACCACAGTGGAAATCCCGAGCCATAGTTCAAACATTTATCCCAAATCAAAATGAAGCACATATAAAATTAGTTACAATAGCATGTACAAAAAATGATGTTTAACATTGTTCCCTGGGTAACGGCGCCGGTGTTGTAGTGGTAAGCGTGATTACCTCTCACCCCAGCAGGCCTGGGTTCAATCCCAGTCGGCGCCGCCGGGATTTTCTGAGGCATAACATCTCTGATCACGCCTTCCTTCGGATGGGAAGTAAAGCCGTTGGTCCCCGGTTCATGAGTTGATGGGTCGATAGGTAGGGTCCAGGTGTGGGAGCTGCCTTCCTGGCACGTCGGTAGCATTGGTGCTTAGCACGGAAAACAAGATCGACGGAAAAAAAACAAACCAAAGGAAAAAAAAAATTGTTCCCTGGGTAATACCTCAATGAAAACAACAATGAAAGCTTTTTTTTCATTTCGTTTATTTGGAAGGTTCAAATGTTATAAAAATAACTTAGCGGAGCCGAGTACATGGAATACCAATTTTGGTACTCAAAATACAAAAAAAATATATATAAAAATGCATTTTATCATAGGATTTTTCTGGGTGGCGATCGAAGCGGCGACAAAGCGATCTTCTCCCGTGCACGCAACTTCTTTCTTTCCGAATTTGTTCCTCATTTTCATTGAACCCGAATCGTGATCGCTGCTGCTGCTTCTGAACGTCGTTTCCCGTTGCATGCTCTCCGCTACTCTCGTCGGTCGTCGGGGTCGTCACGTCCATTTCGTTATTTTCATTCAGCATCTCCAACCTCGTGTCCGTTTCCTGGTCGCTAATGACTAGCGACGCACCTTCCACCACTACACCAGCATACGTACTCCTGCTGTTTTGTTTTCTTTCACTTTCCTGCTTTCCTTTTTCCTTAGGTTGCTTCTCCGCTTCCTTCCCAGCCTTCCGCATGGGACAGGAAAGCTTCCGGTGTCCGTCCGCCTTGCACAGAAAATATTTATCTTTGTTGCCATCGTAAAATATATTTCCTTTGCGATTGAAGAAATGTAATGACGTGGGGATTTCCTTCTTCACATCCATATATATACCGCGTATCCCTGTATATACCTCAAAACACAGATCAGATGGAAATTTCTCCCAGATGATGCGTTTAATTTTTCCATATTTCCCCAGCACTTTATCCAGCTCGTTGTCGGGTACCTCTGGTGGCAAGTCATACACACGCACATATTGAATGTATTCACCAGCATGCGACATGCGTACCTTTGCCGTCGTTCCATTCGCATAATGGAAGATTAAATCCTCCGAATTGAACGTCAGAGCATGGAGCATCGCTTCCTCTGATTTGAACTTGATGAATACTCCCCTTTCCTCACCAATGCGATAAACAGCTTTCTTTTCACTTCGATCCGCGTCGAGTGCTTTGGCGAAATTTACAATCTCTCCGATGTTTGGTTTAGCATCATGGTGGCTTCACACATCTTGCACCGTAGCAACGGTAGCAACAAAAGGCACCGAACTGCTAGCAACGAACAAAGAGCAACTATATAATAGCGAGTCTCGAAAACAGGCTATCGCGTGGTTCACACCGAAATAAAAAATCGACTGCTGCTGTAGACAGCTGTGGGACAACTGAACAATGAAAGCTTGTCACGCAAATAGAAGGAGCACTGTTGGGCACTTTCTGAAATATTTCAATAGTATAATCGTATAATCATAGAGGTAACTCTAAAGGCCGGCGCACAATAGATACGTTTTCGGGTTTTTTGACAGATAATGCATGGGCTAACTGTCATAAAACTCGAAAACGTATCTATTGTGCGCCGGCCATAAGACTAGAAGGTCCCGAAATAACGTGCTCAACTTTTTGGCTCAGCTCTGGTACTCTCTTCGGTCCCAAGCTAACCGATTCACCCCTCGAAGCATAGGAAATTCCACGAACCCCTCATTTTATCTGTCAAACTTTCATAGCGAATCTAAACAAACATAGTGTAGTACTAGAATTTCTACTACAATGGGATACGTTAATCGTTTGCTTGGGACCAATAGGCTAGTCCAGTAGTGACCCAATTAAAAATCGTTAGTTTCGTATTGATTGTTGGTATAATTCCCTTGCAGTCCCAAATAAATCGATCTGCGTACATCTGCGAATGACAAAGATACAATTCAATATTGGAAACATTTAGTTATCTCTTGTAAATTCTTACATAAGTCATCAGTTTTTTTTTTGGCATATCTCAAAAACGGTATAAGATACCATCTTGAAATGTTCACCGAAAAAAAGCTTATAAATTTCCAAACATGATTTTTTTTTTGATAAAAATCCATGATGCAGACGATAATTTCCACAGCTTTTCTTTTGGATTTTCATTAATGGTGAAAACTTTCATGAGAAATTTGTTTCCAACTGTATTTTTTTATGAATAGTTGACAAAATTTCTTTTTTGAAATTAACTTTTGTTAATATATATATGAACTCTACGCATGGGCAAAGTTTCATAGAAATCGAAGTCCCTTCGGCACAAACCTGTTCGGCAATTTAAAAAATCCCCACTCTCAATTAATAACTGTGGAAGTGCAACCGTAACGGTCGTTGTCATTTGCGCGACTATTTTAACAGCGCACAGCGCTCTCATTTTAGTTTAGTCACTCTTCTCCACACCGGTCGCTGCTATCGCGGTTATCAATTTACTCGCCTTTGTCCGTACCGGTAGTGAGCATTTTGACATTTCTACGAATAGCAACCTTTCTCCCGCGCTGCTATCGCGCTGCTATCCCGCTGCTATCGCGCTGCTAAATTTGGTAGCGCGCTTCTCACCGAGAAGCCGACCGCTATTTTAGTTACTCGTATGGCAACCCCCGATACGGTAGCTGCGCTATGATGAAGGCTGCTAAAATGAGTTTAGCAGCGTACCGTTACGGTTGCTCTAAGAACACTAAGTTGAGAGCACACAATAAGCTAATATGCGATAAGCAATAAGCTTGATATGCGAAAAAGAAGAAGACTTCTTGTCACGTGAGTGGACGCGAGTTGATCAAATTCTCCGCCTCGATCAGTGCCGTCTGTAGGATTTCGACTGTCAGCTTCCGACCATTCGTGAACACATTCAATGCTTCTTTCACCATTCGCACCATAGTCTCTCTCGCGCGCCTCATATGTGTGCTACATATTCATCCGTCTCTGTCCGATCTTCCATCCTCAAGATTCCATTGTATGCCCCGCGTACAAGAAGCGTACCAACAATGTGAAGCGTTCCATAAAAGAACGCTCCAAGCTGACGTTTGCAGAAAT